GACCCCAGCAGCAAGGAAAGGGAAGCCACGGAGAGCAAAGTGTAGGATAACAATGTCTTGTCCTTCCTCAGGTAGCTTAGGTTTATCGGTCACACCCATCCCAGTGCTCCTGAGTCACTCCCATTCCTCTGTTTATCTGTAAGCTCTTCTCTGTGCTCTCCTCCCCAGCAAGTTAATCACCTTTTCTCCCTAATCAGATTCTGTTAGCTTGTAAGATCAGATCCTTCTAAGGACACTGAACTTGTACTGTAAGCAATGTCCTTTCTGTATGGACACAGGAAGACAGTTAATATTATGCTTTGTAACTTGGGAATTGATTGACTCCGAATAATATTTACTCCTGGGCATCTGCTTTCTTGACTCAGTTGCCCTTAGTTCCTAGCACCCCAAAAGCAGGGTCCCAACAAGGGACTGAATGGACCCAGGGCAAGCCGTGAGCTACCATGGCATCGAAATGGGCCAGGCCAAAGCACCAAGATACTCAACTATAAGTTGAGAACATGATCATGGACAAATGCTGTCATGATCCAAAAGTAAGTAACAACAAGACTAGAACCCTGCTGGGGCTAGGAAGACTAACCTGGCCTGAGGACTGCGGAATGTATAATGAGATGTTTATAACTCTTACTGTGCTCACACATAATGACATTGCTAGAAATATTAGAAGCAGATTGACTACAACTATTTAAGTCGATTACTAGCTGAGGAAAGAACACACCCTTGTTAGGATCCCACCCTTGAGCGGATCTCCTAGTAATCTGGAGTAATCTCTTTAGATGAGATTTTATCCTTGAGTTAATCTCCTGGAGGAGTGGTCTTACCTCTCTTTGTTGATTTGTTAATGTTCAACCCACCTTTATGTCACCACCCTACGTGATTGCCATATAAACTAAGAATGCAAGCTCAGAGAGAGCAGAGTCAGAAGTGAGAGAGCTCGGGCTCCAGAGATCCAGAGTCAGAGCCAGAAGGAGAAAGGTTCCAGATTGGGGCCCAGGAGAGAAGGAGGCAGAGGAAAGACAGGAGTGAAGAGGATTGGAATAAACTACAATTGATATCGACCATCCTGGCTCTCGTTTCTTCTTTAGTCTGCCCTTGGCCAACAGCCATCCTGATCCAGGCCACACACAGCGGCTCAAGAGAACTGAACGCGGGCGATTCAGAAACAGAGCCGTCCAGAGACCCCGCGAACACACAACCTTCAGCATGCTAAGATTTTACTGCGAAGAAAAACAGTCTGTTGGTCTCGCTCTACCACTTCTCACATCTGTGGGTCCAGCCTTCCAGATGCATTGGATCCTCTTTGCCCGTCTGTACAAGAGAAGAACAACCCCTTAGGAGAATCAGAGCTGAAGAAAGAAGGCCAAGGGCCAGAGAGATAGCACAGTGGTCAGGGAGAAAAAAAATAAATTAAAAACTGCACCTATTGGGGCTGGAGAGATAGCACAGTGGGTAGGGCATTTGCCTGCACACAGCTGACCTGGGTTCGATTCCCAGCATCCCATATGGTCCCCTGAGCACCACCAGGAGTAACTCCTGAGTGCAGAGCCGGGAGTAATCCCTGTGCATTGCCGGGTGTGACCCCCCCAAAAAAACAAAAAAACAAACAAACAAAAAAAACCTGCGCCTATTAGATCAAAAAGGTTTCCTAGTTCTCTAATACTTCGTATTGGCCCCGTGTTGCTTCCTGGGCATCAGCTTATCTGAGATGGGTTTAATCTTCTCTCACATATGGAAGGGCACCTGAGGCAGGAAATGTGGGTCAGTGGGAAGGTACTTGCCTTGAATGTCTATGCCCTGGGTTCAATCACTGGCAAGAATTGCTACTATCACAGTGTTCACGACATAAATGCCATCTTTTTCTCGGTTATTTATTCTATTTTATTATCTATGTCATCCAATATCTATTATTTTTATAACTTTGTTATAGTATGTTAAATATCATGCAGTGCATTTAAACATTGTTATAACCCCACCCTGTTTAAACAATAAAATTTACCATATTTTTCTCAATTTTCATAATTGTCTTGATCTCCTCATCTTCTGTTTGTTTAGGTAAATTGTAAAATCATTTTGGAAAGGTGTTAATAGCCTTATTATAATGATGAGGATGGGGAGGGAGCGATAGCACAGTGGGAAGGACTTTTGCCTTACAGTCAACCAAGATTTGATCCCCAGCATCCCATATGGTCCCCTGAGCACAGCCAGGAGTAATTCCTGAGTTCAGAGCCAGGAGGAATCCCTGAGCTGATATCACCAAATGTGATCCCTCCCTCAAAAAAAAAAAAAAGATGAGGAATTGAGGCTGGAGCAACAGGTAGGACACCTGCTTTGCACACAGCTGACCCTGGTTTGATACCCGGCATCCCATAAGGTCCCTTAGCCCTGCTGGTAATGATTCCTGAGCACAGAGGCAGGAGTAAGCCCTGTGCACTCCCGAGTATGGCCCCCCCAAAAAAAATTAAAGATGAGGAACTGAGTATCCCAAATCATAAATTGTTGAAGTTAACATATCTCTTAAGTGATAGAAACATAAGTCAAGATAATTTCTTCTGACCACTCCCCTTTCAGCTCTAAGATGCTCAATTATTTTAATAGTCGTGATATTTACAACTTACCTTTGCCCCCGCCTCTCTGCCTCCTCCTGGCGGTCATCCTTGGTACTGCAATTTCTTAAGTACGTTTTATATTGCAAAATAAAAACACATTTCACTTCATTTTTATATTGTTTATCAAAAAAAACCCTGCCAATTACATAAACTTAGCCAGAACAATTGTGTGATATTTAGCGGGCTTATGCATTTCTGGTATTTTTCTTAGCAAAGACCAGTCTCAGAGATGGTTACAGTCCAGTGACGGATCGAATGATGGTTCAGGAGGATGGTGCTTGCCTTGCACGTGGCCAACCCATGTTGGATCCCAGGCATCACATTTGGTCCCCTGAGCACCCACCACCAGGAGTGATCCCTGAGCACAGAGGCAGGAGGAGTAAGCTCTGAGCACTACTGGGTGTGGCCCCCAAATCTAAACAAAACTACACACACACACACACACACACACACACACACACACACAAAATCCAATAACTATGAAGGAAAATCCTGTCAATTTCATGTGCTAAAGACCTAGCCACAAAGATTTTTTGGGTTCTTCCTTTTGTTCCTTGACCTCACGCAAATACTTTCACGAATGTCTGTCTTGCATTTTAGATTCTCCAGGTGCACTCAAGAGGGATGGAGGTGCCTGGACAGGGGTGCAGTGGGTTGGGCCCCGCTACTTCCCTAGGTCACTGGGAGAGTCTGCCAGCCTGGAGGCAGTGTCCAGGCTCACTCTTCTCACAAGGGGCTGGCAGCGGCGGCCCACGCTGATCTCACCTCTCCCAGCCTCTCGGAACCTCTGTCTCATTTTCTTCCCTCTCCCCTTCCTGCCTTTATTTTCTCCCTTTCCTTTCCCTACCATCCTGTCTAATCCCATCATCCTTCAGCTTCTTCTTTCCTGCCTTTTCATCTGTGAAGCAAGAAAGTGCGCAACTAAATTTCTACACAAAAAGACAGTGAAACATCTCAGCTTATGCATCATAAAAACATTACTCAGCAAAAAGGAATAAATTCTGAGAAACACTTTTCAAATGTCCTTTTGTATTTGTCTGAATTCCTTTAAGACTGGTTACCTCCCCACAAGCCATTTAACTTTTACTGAGGCCATTCCTGCTACACGCGTTGGTACGGAACACGGTATGAGAGAGGACAGAAAGGGTGGGAAAGCAGAGCCCACAAGCAGAGAGCCCCGGCGAGCACCCACCTCCAGGATTAAGCTGGGACAGAATTGATTCTCTTCTGGATTTGGTTCAGAAAGAGGGTAATAATACTTGCCTAATTAACCAGCATGTTGGTAGATTAAAGTGCTTTGTAAACATTAATTAAAGATGCAAGGTGTTAGATGAGCCCAGTGTGTTATTAGTGAAAAAAAGTTTTCTTCCCTGTAATCAGGTATCCCTTCCTGGGGCGGGAGGGAAGAGAATGATGTAAGGCCTAAGGAATTGGGACTCAGCCCAAGTCCTGCCTGTGACTCAGGGCCTCCTTCCCCAATCGATTGTAAAACGGGACAATGCAGACAACCCGGGTGTCCTGGAGGCCTGCCCTTGGAGGGGGGGGGGGGGGGACCGACAATGACCAACGCTCCTTCCCGGTTGCTTTCTCCCTCCCTGGAGTTTTCCACCCCAGGAAACCCCAGGAACTCGAATTTCCACCAGCTCCCAAGCGCTTGTCCCCTGCAGCATCTGAGGCTGGGCTGCTCCTCAAGGTGGAGGCAGTTCCCTGAGTTTCCTCCCCTTTCTGAGTGCCACCTTTCCTCCTTGGTGTAAGGGAGAGAAGAAATCAGAGTCTCGTTCCAGAACCTAATGAAACAGTGAGCGTGAGTGAATCGCCTTGCCCAAAGGTAATAGGTATTCAAACACACAGTAGTTGTTATTATTATTATTATTATTATTATTATTATTGTCATTAAACAGAAAACAGCCTCGCGAAGCTGAGAGTTAGGAGGAATCTCACTCCGAGCTTCAAACGCAAACCCCTTTGGCTTATCTCGGCGGGTTGTAACTCGGGGGAGAGGTGGGGAGCACTCAGATGGCGCCCGGCCCAGCCCTCACCGTGAGACGGAGACGTAGGGCTCCGTCCGGGCGTCCGCAGGGCAAGGGACCTGGGGCTTTAGACGTCCAGGCGCGGGCAAAACGGGGTGCGCGCAGGAAGAGGGGGCGCGCGGCGGGGAGCGCACGGACGAGGAAGGCGCGCGGCGGGGAGCGCACGGACGAGGAGCGCGCAGGAGCGCGAGAGCGCGCGAGAGCGCGCGGCAGGAGCGCACGGAGGAGGCGGAGCGCGCGCGGCGGGAGCGCACGGACGAGGAGCGCACAGGAGCGCGGGGAGGAGGCGGGGCGCGCGCGGCGGGGAGCGCGGGGAGGAGGCGGGGCGCGCGCGGCGGGGGCGCGGGGAGGAGGCGGAGCGCGCGCGGCGGGAGCGCACGGAGAGGAGAACGCGCGGCGGGGAGCGCGCAGGAGCGAGCGCGGCGGGACCCCCCAGTCGGTGCCAGGTGAGTGCCCACCACTTCCGATCCTCAGCCCGGGCTGGGCGCGGCGGGGGCGCGCTGGCAGCCGGGTTCTGCTTGGCGTGTGGGGGAGCGAGGCGGTGTTTGGGCTCCCGTGGGTTCCGGGTAAAAGCGGGGGGCACCCCCTTCCGGTTGTCCCCACTGCCTGCCTGAGCCTCCCCTCCTCCCCCAATGCCCTCCACGTCGCGGGCTTCCCGGGCACCTGAAGTTAGTTCGAGCAGAGCCCCGAAGGGCCGCGCTCGCCGAGGGCGGGCACCAGGGTGGCCCGTCCCGGAAAACCGGGGGCCCCCAGGGGACTTGCCGGGGTCTGCGTGCGTCTCTGGGCAGGGGCCGTGGGAAGCGCGCGTTTTCCGATTCGGAGGTAGACCTACTGGGGGGCGCGCCGTGGTCCCTGGCAAGTGCCTGGCTCTAGGCACCCGCGGACCCCTCTGACCCTCGCCCGCTCCTCGTCCCCGCCGCCCTTCCCCGGGGACCCACGGAGCGGCTGGAGGTGGCCCAAACCCCTGGTGGAAATTGCGTCCTGCGCAGTGACCGCGCCACCGGCGTCCACACCCGCGCGAGCCCCGCCAGGTAACCACATCACGCGGTGAGCCCGGCAGGTCGGGTCAGAGGCAGGCGAGAATGCGCCGCGCTCCAGCCAAAGGCAACCGAGAGCCGCTCCTCCTTGACCTCGGAAGTTTCCCAGTATTGTTTTACAGACTCTAAATTTAAGCTTGCAGCTTTCTCTTTTCTTTCATTTCTAACCGCAGTAACTAGCCTCAGAAAACTTTTAACTCCGTCAGGACCCAGCGGGTGCAGAGCAGAAAACCTGCGTGTTCTTGGGCCCCTAAACAGAGCACAGGGTTCAAGTGCTGTACAGTAGGAAGAAGCCCGCCCTAGCTCCCTTGTAATGCGGACATTTCTTTAAAAGAAAAAAATTTTAAATTCGGTAATGACTGTGAAAGGAATGGAAACACTAGCCCAGGTCTGAGGAGAATAATCCCCAAAACAGCTTTATTAACTGTGTGCTGCTTGATCTGTGACTATCTCTAAAGAACTACATGTTCCGTGTTCTAGCACCACTAGGAACCCTGCAAAGTACAAGCCTGGCTGTTATAGGCTATTTTTCTAGGTGGAGAAGGTGTTTTCGTTCATGAGGCCCTTGTGGAAATACAAACAAGCGCGCTATTTACTTGGGACTGGGTAGAAGGGATGGAAGCTGAAATCCTTCTTGCCAGGCTGACAGTGTATGTATGGAATCTTGTGTATTTTCTGGCCCAGGCTAGTAAGAACACCCTTTTTGGGCGGGGACTACTCCTGTCAGTACTCAGGCTACTCCTGGCTGGGTGCTTGGGGTCACCATCCATGATTGTCCCCCCCACCCCGACTCACACAAAGCATGTGTTCAGCACTGCCTCCCACTACTCCAGAGTTGTGATTTTTTTTTTTTGTGGGGGACATGGGGTTGGGTCACATCTGGTGATGCTCAGAATTTACTCCTGGTTCTGTGCTTAGGGATGACTCCTGGCAGGGCTCAGGGGGCCATATGGGATGCCAGGGATCAAGCCTGGGTTTGCCTGTCTAGGAACAAGTGCCCCGGTCCCTGTCTAATCACTGCGAGGCCCCTCCCCCAGCCCCCAAATTTTTTTTATGAGCCGGATCTGTCCCTTGAGAGCTGCGGGTGCTGCGTCCTGTCTTCTGGGAAAGGTCTGACTGCAGCCAACTTGGAAGTTCACACACTTTGGGGTAAGGGGGGTGCCTGAGAGGGAGGCTGTGCCCACGGGCACCCCAAGTCCCATCCTGGGCACTGCATGGTCCCCCGAGCACCCCTGGGAGCCACCTCCAGGCACTGAGCCTGGAATGGTCCAGGGGTGGCCCCTTCCAGAAAAGTGACAAAAATAAGAGGACTCAAGAGAGGACAGGACTCAGGCACTGGCCTTACATTCAGGGGAGCCCGGTTTGATCCCCGACACCACAAATGGTTTCCCTGAACATTACCAGAGCCAGGAATGAATGCTGAGCACAGCTGGGGTGGCCCCCAAACTTAAACACTGAGTAAGTAGACGACATTTCATTTCATCATCCTGTTAATCGTCGATTGCCTCGAGCAGGCCCCAGTAACGTCTCTTTCAGCCTAGCCCTGAGATTATATTCAGGGCTCTTTAGGAGAATGAGACCCATCATTGTTACTGGTATTTGGCATATTTGGTAGGCCACGGGGAGTTTGCCAGACTCTGCCCTGTGGGCAGGCTACATTCGACAGCCTGCAAGTTTGTCCAAAGTAGGAATGAGATAATAAGATGTCGCGCGGCCGCAAATGCGGCCGCGCGGTTCCGGGATCTGGATTTTATAGTCTCTGAGTCTTGGCCGCTGATGGGATTACACGGCGCCAGGGGGCCAGGTGGTGGGTGTGACCCCCGCCTACTGGAATTTGGAGGATCTGAGTGGAAGATGCTCGACTCCAATTCGAGTAGGCTTGGAGGTCTCGGCCCCGGAACCCCGCGTGGCTTTGTCCCTCTGCCAGTACCTTCATGTGTGCGGAGAGTGGTCTCAGCATGGTGGTGGCTGGTCCTGGAGGTCTTCGGCTGCCGTAGCCCTGGTCGGGGCGGGGAGGAATGACAGAAAAAAAAATACCATGCCGAGTCCACTGTGAGACAGCAGATGGCCAAAGCCACAGTGATGGTTGGGAGAGGATGGGAGAGAGGAGGGGTGCTTCTGGGTGCTTCTGGGTTTGTCTGTTCCCAGTGATGCCCGTGTGTGTGTGCGTGTGTGTGTATGTGCATGTGCGCGTGCGTGTGTATGTGTGTTTGTGTCTGCGTCTGCATGTGTGTGTGCATGTGCGCGTGTGTGCGCGTGCTTGTGTGTGCATGCATTTGTATGTGCATGTGTGTGCATGTATGCACATGTCCATACATGTGTATGTGTGTGCACATGTTTATGCACATGTGTGTGCGTGCATGCGTGCACACGTGTGTGCATGTGTATGCGTGTGTGTACATGTGTGCACATGTCTGTATGCGTGTGTGTGCACATGTGCGTGTGTGTGCGTGTGTATGTGCATGTGTGTGCGTGAGTGCATGTGTGTGTGTGTTGGAGGGTGTTTTCCAGCATGCCTGCTGCAAACAGCTGCAGAATCATTGAGAAGCATCATCCTCTTTCCCTCCCAATCATCCCTCTGGAGCGTGTCAGTGGTCGGAAATGACCGTCCCAGCGCGAACGTCTCCAGGGACACACAGACATATCCCGTGAACAGCCTTGCGACCTAAACGAATTCAAACCGGATCAAGTAATCCTGTGCGGCAGCCTAAGAGACACCTGGCCCCGGGTCTCCCAGCTCCCCGACACCCGGGAGCTTGTTGCTGGCACTCTGTGTCGATGTTACAGATGGTCTCGAATGACTCTGGAGCAGAGTCCTGAGACCTGGAGGCAGAGAGATGAGGGATTTGGCTGGCGCAGAGCCTAGATGCTTGGGAACACGAATCTGCAGGGGTGCTGGACGCCTTCCCACGGGGGCTGGCTCCCCACTCTTGCCTGCAGGAGGCCGGATCTGGCCCCTGGGCCACAGCAAAGGCACCACTGGCTCCTGCTAGATGCGGTTTGTCTGACATGCCTGTCCCCACACCCTCCCTGACCTTATGAATGAAGGGGCTGCTGGCCACCATGGAAAGCTCTGTCCACACCCATGCAGCCCCGCCACCCAGTGGGGATAACCGCAGGCTCCCCTGCGCCTGTCAAATGCTCTGTTCCCCCTGCCCCCATCTCCTGGACCCTCCCATGGTCACAGCATTCATCCGGAAACTTCTCTGAAGAAAGGGGGCTTGGGTTTGTGGCCTGCGTGGGAGACGAGTGAGCCCGAGTGCGGCCCTGCACTCGGTGGACGCTGCTGCAGCCGCTGTTTCGTGCAGTGACACCAGCAGTGCTGAGTGTGTTGCTTCTGACCTGTGCGGCTGTCGCCAGGCTCAAGCTGCAAGAGCTGCCGGAAGTGCCAGGGGCTCAGCCAGGGGCACCTGGGAAGACTGACTCCCGGCTCTGTGCCCTGGGGACCGCGCGCTGCAGGCCTGTGGGTCTCTTCTTCTGCTGCTCTGGTCCGGTTTGTGCAATCAAGTCTCGGGGGCTGCCCCGTTTGGTGTCCCCAAAGTGGCGCCTGAAGTTCTGAGTCTGCCACCCCTCACTGGATATTTTCTGGGGGATTGAATAGAAAAGGTTTTGTTTGTTTGGGGGCCACACCCGGTGGTGCTCAGGGGCTCGTCTTGGCTCTGAGTTCAGGAATTACTCTTGGCGGTGCTCAGGGGACCATAGGGGATGCTGGGGATTCAAGGCAAGCACCCGACTTGCTGGACAATCTCGCTGGTTCCTGAAGTGAAATTTAAAAAAAAATAATTTAGTTTTGTTTTCTATACCATTCCTTTGCAGTGAGCACCTGCTACCACCAGGGTTTGCAGAACTTTCTGGAACATTTCTGAGCTAGCCACGGGTGCCTAGCACATGGGGGATGTGGGGGGTGGGGGGCGAGCCTGGCTGAGTCGGGTTAGGACTTGAGGAGTGGCCACACACTGGCCGCTTCAGTTCTGAGTCGAAGGACTCAAACCCCGTCCCTCTTTCTTGCTTTCTGCTTATTATGGCTCGTTTGTTTGTTGGTTTGATTGGGGTTTGGGGCCACACCCAGAAGTACTCAGGGCCGACTCCTAGCTCTGTGCTCAGGAATCACTCCTGCTGGGTCTCAGGGGACCATGTGGGGTGCCGGGGATCAAACCTCAGTTGGCCGTGTGCCAGGCAAGTGCCCTGCCCGCTGTTCTGCTGCTCCAGCCTCTGTGCTTATTGTAATTTTTTTTAGGGGGGTGGTACCACACCCAACCATACTTGGAGGCTGTTCGTTCCTGGCTGTGCGGGTGCTTGTGTTCATACGAGTGGTCAAACCTGGGCCCTGTCCGTGAGGCTTATGCCCCTGAGCTAGGCTTCTGGCTTCCTTGAGGTTTAGAGAAACTTTCACTGGCTTGTCTTTTTTT